CCGGACAGGGTGCGTTCAGGAACCTTTGGGAAAACAGGAGATACCGAGCAGAAAAACGGCAACCCAGGCAGGAACAGACTCAGGACGCAGGGTTCATGACACTGAGTTTAAATGTATTTGGCTAAGGTGTATATAAACTTCCGACTTCAACTGTATTTCTAGCTCCAACAGTGCAGTAATACCTAACAATACAAAACAATACACACAAAATAATTATCAGAACGAGCAATATCAGAGTCCGGAATATAAATATATATGTACTTCATAGTTTTCACACCTCTTGACTTTTTCCACATTTTGTTGTGTTACAGCCTGAATTTAAAATAGATTCAATTGAGATGTTTTGTCACTGGCCTACATACAATACCCCATAATGTCAAGGTAGAATTATGTTTTTCGAAATGTTTAGAAATGTATTAAAAATTAAGATAGAATTCACAGCCCTTGTCCTTTTCCACATTTTTGTTGTGTTATAAAATGGGATTAACATTTATTTAATTTGTATTTTTTGTACAAGATCTACACAACATACTCTGTCAAAGTGGAAGAAAAATTCTAACATTTGTAATAAAAAATAAATGGATGAAAAATAAAACACTTATCTTGATTAGATTATAAGTATTCAACTCCCTGAGTCAATACATGTTAGAATCACCTTTGGCAGCGATTACAGCTGTGAGTCTTTCTGGGTAAGTCTCTAAGAGATTTCCACACCTGGATTGTGCAACATTTTCCCATTATTATTTTCAGAATTCTTCAAGCTCTGTCAAATTGTTTGTTGATCATTACTAGACAATCATTTTCAGGTCTTGCCATAGATTTTCAAGCAGATTAAAGTAAAAACTGTAACTCGGCCACTCAGGAACATTCACTGTCTTCTTGGGAAGAAACTCCAGTGTAGATTTGGCCTTGTGTTTTAGGTTATTGTCCAGCTGAAAGGTGTATTTGTCTCCCAGTGTCTGTTGGAAAGCAGACTGAACCAGGTTTTCCTCTAGGATTTTCCCTGTGCTTAGCTCCATTCCGTTTCTTTTTTTATCCTGAAAAACTCCCCAGTCCTTAACGATTACAAGCATACCCATAACATGATGCAGCCACAACTATGCTTGAAAATATGGAGAGTGATACTCAGTAATATGTTGTATGTTTGTGGCAAATCCAATAACACTTTGTATTCAGGACAAAAAGGGAATTGCTTTGCCACATTTTTTGAAGTATTATTCTAGTGCCTTGTTGCAAACAGGATGCATGTTTTGGAATATTTTCATTCTGTTTAGGATTCCTTCTTTTCACTCTGTCAATTAGGATAGGATTGTGGAGTAACTACAATGTTGTTGATTCATCCTCAGTTCTCATATCACAGCCATTAAACTCTGTAACTGTTTTAAAGTTACCATTGGCCTCATGGTGAAGTCCCTGAGCGGTTTCCTTCCTCTCCAGCAACTGAGTTAGGAAGGACCACCTATATGCGCTTGCATGTGCACCAATATTCTTTATAGGCCTAATCATAGAATTACACATAGAATCCCTATTAATTCAGTAGGATCTCTGTGGGCCTAGTCGTAAAGATTTGTCATTTTAACTTGTATTACCTTTTATTGTGGCATAAACACAACCCGTCATGATGTTTTCATCTGCTTGTAAAACAATCACTTCAAAGTTACTAGGCTTCCCACTCACGTTCATACACTCACAACATATTTCCAGCCTCCAAACAGTGGTGAATGAAAAGACACATCTGTTACACAAAACACCAAAAAGTGTAATGACATTTGGCGACTGTCATTAGGCCAGAATTGATGCATCCCCTGTTGTCCACACACGGCTCGGTGTCGGCCACTCATTTCTGCCTTGGCAAAATGTCAGTGTTCTCGTCGAACCACATCGCATTTTGGAGCGTAGGCTGTGCCACCCATTTTCAAGTCCATTCGCATTTTTCTCTGACATGCGGTAATGATAAAAAGTGGTGTAATAGCCTACAGTTTTCTTGATATTTTGTTTTAGTTATTGTGATAGGCTCATGTTTTACCGGTACGGCGTACCCCCACTATTTATTTTTCCGGGACACCATACCGGACTGTACCGCCTTACTTTCACCCCTGACTGTATCAGAGATTCAATGACCAGGAGATTGCATGTGATGAGCTGCTGCATTTTACAGCTTGACCTTTTCCCTACCCTCAGCTAGCTGGCTGCAGATAGCCTAGCCGACTGGAATAACACTGGCTATTCCCAAATCTCTTGCAGAGCCGTGTCTCGTTACGCTGCATACCCAAAATAGTGACAGAGACTACAGCAGCCACACCGGACCCTCTACAGTATCTAATCAGGGCTGGCTTCGCTGCTCTACTTTCCCCTGGCCCCTGCTGTGGCCCCTGCTGTGTACAAACTGCATGTCACCAAGTCCTCCACCAGCACAGCTCAGATGGTGCTACAACAGAAAGGGATAAATCCATTTATAAGCACAGTAAGCAGTAGGCACCACTGTTCAATCACATTCATGCAGTATAAATTCATTTTCGTGAGTACATAATGCTAGAAATGTTGATTTGACAATGTACCTTTTTTCTGTTCCTACAGTGCACAATATATCATATTTGACATCTGTAGGAGCCTTCAAAGGGCGTTTTTCTCCAGACGTTATACACTCAGTGGCCAGTTTATTAGGTACCCCACCCCCTTCACGAAAATGGTTAGCTCCTACAGACAGTGGGTCATGTGGCTTGCTATATAAAGCAGGCAGACAGGCATCAAGGCATTCAGTTACTGTTCGATTGAACATTCGAATGGACAAAACGAGTGACCTAAGCGACTATGAGTGTGGTATGATCATCGGTGCCAGGCGTGCCGGTTCCAGTAGCTCATAAACGACCGGCCTCCTCTAATAACATAGCCTCAACGGAAACTTGGCTTTGAAATAGCTTAGGAAAGGACACAATGGAATAGCCATCATCTCCTACCATCCATATACTGATGTCTGATAGACATCTTGACTTTTGATGACACTTCTATTGTAGGTTGGCCCTCAAATAAAACTGAATTAATACTACCTACCAGAGCAGACAGTTTCCTTCAGCGCAGCACATAAAGCTGAGTACATGAGTCATGCAACAAGTCACAAAGCATTGGTGCGGTTTGTTTTTGGTGTGGGAGGGAGTGCTAAAGCTTCTTGACTGGGGAGTGTTCTCAGTGTTATTTTTCTCCCTGTTAGGGAGGCGGACTGTCAGACTGATGGATAGTCCTCCTCTTGCGTGTAGAGTTGACTTTCAGAGTTCCCACTCTACTCACGTCACCTTACTTTTCCTCCTCCTTCTCCTCTCTCTCTCTGTCTCTGTCTCTGTCTCTGTGTATGTCTGTGTGTGTGCGTGCGCGCACAAGTGCGGAGAGAATAGATACACTTTCTCCCTTCATAACTCACTTTCTCCCTTCATAACTCTCTCGTTCCAGACTGAGCCTCCCATCATCCTAACAGTTAAGCCAGTGCCTTAACCCTCCAAAAAGATGGAAGTGAATGGGTGGATGGCTACTATCATCGAGCATATGAGCATGCCAGGCAGGGTAGGACAGAGTCAGTGTGGCCTGGCCAGGCAGTGACCTCCCAGGGAACATACAGTCCCACTATGAGGTCAGACTGGAGCCCTGTATGTCTTGACAGTCAGTCAGGATTACAAATGAGGGCAATTCGTTGTGAAAATGGACTGTAGCCGAGTTAGAAAAATAATCCTCCCGTTTTTGGACATTAGTCATTTTCTGGGGTCATTTCAACAACTCCATGGGGCCTCATTTATCAAAGGTGCGTGCGCACAAAAAGATCACAAACCTTTCACAATTACATGCACATGGCCAATTATGCAAATTAGGCGATGACGTCATTTAGCGACTTCTAGCGACTTTTAGGACAGCCAATAGCTACTTTCCTTACTGAGGAGTTGACAACACTGGACCGGGAGCCTATGACAGTATGGGTAGGCTACAGTATTGCTGTGCGATAGGAGCGCGAGTCAGCGCGACAAAATATCCTGTTTTGAACAACAATTCGTCTTTTGCATAGAGTGTGCAGTGTAGCGTTTACTTTTAAATTGTTCAATAGACAGTTAATCTTGCAGAATTCACGGCCAGTGTTTGGCACTCGCTGAACACTGGCACTCGCTAATTTGTTGAAAAAAGTCACTGTAGAAGATTAAAACATACTGCCCACACCTCTACAGAAATGTGATCAAATTTGCCATAGCGCTTTAGGAACTGTCATGGCCCAGTTCCAACATCTTCAAATCATACAGCCAATGAGGGATTTATGTTACCATAAAACGTGAATGGAGGGCGTTTTCCAGGCGTGGTTGTAACGCGAGCACAGAAATATAATATGGCTCTGATTTATCAATGAAAACATGCGTATATGTTGCATGCGACAGTTTGTTAAATCTCAATTATTTGTTGCGCACGCAAATCTAGAATCTCCATGTATGCCAGAATTTTGTTAGAAATGTACACACGGTTTATAATTGAGGCCCCTGGGCCCTGGTAAAATGAATGCCCTTGAAAATCTCTGCAGACAAGCTTTTATTTGAGCAATTTATTTCATGGGTTAGGAGCAGAGGGAAGCTGGCTCCCCTAGGCATTGTGTTTTCACAGTAATATGATCCAATGGATTCAGGCGAGAAAACATGGGATAGGCCTAAGTGTTTCGAACTGAATGACTGTCGTGCCATATAGCCAAGGTCGTCATGGCCAAAAATTTGTTAAAAGTGAAACAATCTTCTGTAAATGGTGTTGAAACAGCCTCCTGGTGCAGCTTGTCTAATGCCTATAAGCTATCCTAATGCCTATAAGCTATAATGAAATTGTGTTCCTCAGGTTATGTAATTGAGAGTTCCCTACTTAAGGATTAAGTCTAAATGGGATAATCACCTAGACTAGATGTTACCAGAGAGACACGGCTGGCCGCATTCACAGGCTGAATTGTGTTAGCTAGGTTCACTGTGGAGTAAAACCAACAAACAGCTATGACGTCTCTCATCTTTTATGCTGATTGTCTACAATGGGTAAGCGGCTGTGGTCTTTGCCACACAGGATGTGAACAGTAGTGGTAGAGTAGTAGGTACATTCAACTCTGTGAATCAGAAGCATTAACCCCTGTGATGTTGTTTCGTTCTCTCTCTCCTCAGGCCCATGAATGGAGCAAAAACGATGAGCGCCTCCTGGCAGCTGTGGAACATGGGGAGGTGGAGAAGGTGGCCTCTCTTCTCACCAAGAAAGGAGCCAGCGCGGTCAAACTGGACAGTGAGGGCAAGTCAGCGTGAGTATCGAGGGTTGAGGGATGGTGTTGGGCCACACACAGATTAGAAACGGGGAATTGGGACAGCTTGGAGATTTAGGAGGTGGGTTTTGCAAATTGAATTATGGGACAATTTGGAATATGAGTATAGTAATGTTTATTGTTTGAATCAATCCCATATTTGCTCTTCTTCCCCGGACCATCTAAAACTCCAATACTGATACTGTTTCAGTGCAGAATAGAAGTTGCAGTACATGGATATTCCCTCACAGTTCTATGATAACACATCTACAATAGTTGATAATGATGGAATTGGCCCCAGGCAACTGTTCAACTCGATAAGCCATAGTCCCTGTCACTAGTGGAGATGCTACTGAACTGAACTGCCCTAGATACCCTGTTGAAGGAGGGAATAAATAATGTGCAGTCAGATAAGGTTGAAGTTTTATCATGGTTAGAGAAAGTTAAAGAAAGTAATACAAATCACTGGTTCTTAATTAACTGTAACCTGACAAGGAATTGCTAAGTATAGCACCATATAATATAATGATATCTGTACGAGCATCACTGTCATCATATATCTCCTTTCTTCCTTCTTGCTTTTGTCTATCTTTTTTTGCTTTGCCCTTCCTCTTATTCCATAATGAATATGTGCTAAAGTCTAAATGGCATCTATTGTTACTCATGATGGGGAAATGATTAAATTGGTGAGCTAATGATTCATAAAATGCACCCCACGCACTTTTTTGGCGAAGCCAAGACCCATATGAATGTCTAGAGGAATTCCTGTGCCCTTCTCCCATTTCATGTGTACAGACCTGGGAGAATCTATGGCCTTTCATTGATAGCCTATTGAAAATAATATAATTCCCATTGTATAGAGTAGGGCATGGTCTCCTTTGTGTTTAACAAGCTCCCAAATACCACAAAGCGTGATTGTGTCCTGATATTGTCCTGATTTCTATAGGCTCTGAATGGACGTGACAGCCATGCTCCCACTTACTAGCTGGACCAGATAATGCAGAGGGACAGAATTAATGTTTGACCTCTTTCTGACAGTTGCTGACAGAGCACCACTGCCAGAGACCAGTGAAAGATGACACCACTGACCTAAATATATTTAGTAATTTACTTTGAGGGAGATTCGCTCACACCAGCCAGCCACACAATTAGGGCTGGGAATTGCCAGGGACCTCACGATACGATATCAAATAAAATAAAATGTTATTTTTCACATACACATGTTTAGCAGATGTAGCGAAATGCTTGTGATATTATCACGATACTTAGTTGCCGATACGATATGTATTGCGATTCTCACGATTCTATATGTATTACGATTCGAAACTGGGATTTTATTGCGATTTGATGTTCCAAAAATATTGCTCACTCTATGTCTGCTGCAGAGAGACAAGAGAAAGCATGAGAACGAGTTTTGATCAGACAGGGAAATAAAAGGGCTGAAAACATGTTGACTCACTATTTAAAAAGAAGATGGAGAACAAGCTATAGGATGAAAACTACCAGAGTTTTGGCGCAGGTACAGCCAACTAGCTCTAGCTAATGCTAACTACAGAAGCCAAAAATATATGTTTTATAATATATTTTTTTACAAATCGATACTTTGAGTCAAATGTCTATATAATATCGTCCAAAAATAATATTGCTATATGTAACTAGCGATTTCCCCTCTCCCATCACTACACGTGTCTTTTATGTCACTCGTACGAAGAGACCATTGTTTACATCCCTGACCTTCCCAGGTTTCCCAGAAGGTCACACACTGACTGGCATGGCATTCCCAAACAGCCAGTGTTGCCATGGAGATACTGGAGACTTCTAATTAGTGCATCATGACGGGAATGGATGGAAACTGCTAGTGTCTGAAAGCACAAGATCTCTCATTATTATTATTATTATTATTATTATTATTATTATTGCAAAACACACACACACACACAGACAATCACATGATAACTCTGTTGGTGTGTATGTGTCCTATGTAGCCTAATACATTAGGAAAATGTAACTAATTCAGTTCATTACATGATGTGTAATTGCAAGAACAAAGCCATTTTCTTAAATTAATATTGATTTATCGTTTTCTAGGAGTTAAATTGTGCCCTTCCACTAGTGCTTGTTATCATAAATTAATAATAATTGTTGACCTTGCAATTGATGTCCTGAGGAAGTGTTATTGGTGTTGAAATGTGGGCTCACAGAGGAAGCTGTTGGAGAATGCTTAATTACACATTTATTTATTTATTTTTATTTCACCTTTATTTAACCAGGTACAGTGAGGGAAAAAAGTATTTGATCCCCTGCTGATTTTGTACGTTTGCCCACTGACAAAGAAATTATCAGTCTATAATTTTAATGGTAGATTTATTTGAACAGTGAGAGACAGAATAACAACAAAAAAATCCAGAAAAACGCATGTCAAAAATGTTATAAATTAATTTGCATTTTAATGAGGGAAATAAGTATTTGACCCCCTCTCAATCAGAAAGATTTCTAGCTCCCAGGTGTCTTTTATACTGGTAACGAGCTGAGATTAGGGGCACTCTTAAAGGGGGTGCTCCTAATCTCAGCTTGTTACCTGTATAAAAGACACCTGTCCACAGAAGCAATCAATCAATCAGATTCCAAACTCTCCACCATGGCCAAGACCAAAGAGCTCTCCAAGGATGTCAGGGACAAGATTGTAGACCTACACAAGGCTGGGATGGGCTACAAGACCATCGCCAAGCAGCTTGGTGAGAAGGTGACAATTATACGCAAATGGAAGAAACACAAAATAACTGTAAATCTCCCTCAGCCTGGGGCTCCATGCAAGATCTCACTTCGTGGAGTTGCAATGATCATGAGAACAGTGAGGAATCAGCCCAGAACTACACGGGAGGATCTTGTCAATGATCTCAAGGCAGCTAGGACCATAGTCACCAAGAAAACAATTGGGAACACACTACGCCGTGAAGGACTGAAATCCTGCAGCACCCGCAAGGTCCCCCTGCTCAAGAAAGCACATATACATGCCCGTCTGAAGTTTGCCAATGAACATCGGAATCATTCAGAGGAGAACTGGGTGAAAGTGTTGTGGTCAGATGAGACCAAAATCGAGCTCTTTGGCATCAACTCAACTCGCCGTGTTTGGAGGAGGAGGAATGCTGCCTATGACCCCAAGAACACCATCCCCACCGTCAAACATGGAGGTAGAAACATTATGCTTTGTGGGTGTTTTTCTGCTAAGGGGACAGGACAACTTCACCGCATCAAAGGGACGATGGACGGGGCCATGTACCGTCAAATCTTGGGTGAGAACCTCCTTCCCTCAGCCAGGGCATTGAAAATGGGTCGTGGATGGGTATTCCAGCATGACAATGACCCAAAACACACGGCCAAGGCAACAAAGAAGAAGCACATTAAGGTCCTGGAGTGGCCTAGCCAGTCTCCAGACCTTAATCCCATAGAAAATCTGTGGAGGGAGCTGAAGGTTCGAGTTGCCAAACATCAGGCTCGAAACCTTAATGACTTGGAGAAGATCTGCAAAGAGGAGTGGGACAAAATCCCTCCTGAGATGTGTGCAAACCTGGTGGCCAACTACAAGAAACGTCTGACCTCTGTGATTGCCAACAAGGGTTTTGCCACCAAGTACTAAGTCATGTTTTGCAGAGGGGTCAAATACTTATTTCCCTCATTAAAAAGCAAATCAATTTATAAAATGTATGACATGTGTTTTTTTTGGATTTTGTTGTTGTTATTCTGTCTCTCACTGTTCAAATAAACCTACCATTAAAATTATAGACTGATCATGTCTTTGTCAGTGGGAAAATGTACAAAATCAGCAGGGGATCAAATACTTTTTTCCCTCACTGTAAGCCAGTTGAGAACAAGTTCTCATTTACAACTGCGACCTGGCCAAGATAAAGCAAAGCAGTGCGATAAAAACAACATATGGGGTAAACAAAACATAAAGTCAAAAATACAACAGAAAATCTATATACAGTGTGTGCAATTGTAGCAAGTTATGGAGGTAAGGCAATAAAATAGGCCATAGTGCAAAATAATTACAATTTAGGATTAACACTGGAATGATAGATGTGCAAGAGATGATGTGCAAATAGAGATACTGGGGTGCAAATGAGCAAAATAAATAACAATATGGGGATGAGGTAGTTGGGTGGGCTAATTTCAGATGGGCTGTGTACAGGTGCAGTGATCGGTAAGGTGCTCTGACAACTGATGCTTAAAGTTAGTGAGGGAGATAAGAGTCTCCAGCTTCAGAGATTTTTGCAGTTCGTTCCAGTCATTGGCAGCAGAGAACTGGAAGGAATGGCGGCCAAAGGAGGTGTTGGCTTTGGGGATGACCAGTGAGATATATCTGCTGGAGTGCATACTACGGGTGGGTGTTGCTATGGTGACCAATGTGCTAAGATAAGGCAGGGATTTGCCTAGCAGTGATTTATAGATGACCTGGAGCCAGTGGTTTGGCGACGAATATGTAGTGAGGACCAGCCAACAAGAGCGTACAGGTCACAGTGGTGGGTAATCTATGGGGCTTTGGTGACAAAACAGATGGCACTGTGATAGACTACATCCAATTTGCTGAGTAGAGTGTTGGAGGCTATTTTGTAAATTACATCGCCGAAGTCAAGGATCGGTAGGATAGTCAGTTTTATGAGGGCATGTTTGGCAGCATGAGTGAAGGAGGCTTTGTTGCGAAATAGGAAGCCGATTTCTAGATTTAACTTTGGATTGTAGATGCTTAATGTGAGTCTGGAAGGAGAGTTTACAGTCTAACCAGACACCTAGGTATTTGTAGTTGTCCACATACTCTAGGTCAGACCCGCCGAGAGTAGTGATTCTAGTCGGGTGGGCGGGTGCCAGCAGCGTTCGATTGAAGAGCATGCATTTAGTTGAAGGCTACGGAAGGAGTGTTGTATGGCATTGAAGCTCGTTTGGAGGTTTGTTAACACAGTGTCCAATGAAGGGCCAGATGTATACAAAATGGTGTCGTCTGCGTAGAGGTGGATCTGAGAGTCACCAGCAGCAAGAGCAACATCATTGATATACACAGAGAAAAGAGTGAATTAATGTTATCAGTCTGTTCTAGGCACATCAAACATGTTAGTCTGGCAAGTGTGTTTGATTAATGCCTTTCCATTCTGAGGGTAATTCATTTAAGCAGATACACTATGTAAGCTCTATTAAATAGTGTAGACCAGGGGTGTCAAACGTCCGGCCCGCGGGCCGGATCAGGCCCGCAAACGGGTTTAATCCGGCCCGCGAGATGATTTTTTTAAAAAAAGAAGAAAAAAAAAGAAAAAAAATTAATAATAATTTTGTAAAGTATAAAAATGCGCTGCAATTTTTCAATAAAATAAACTGCTGTTCCAATTGCGTCCACTGGATGGCGCAATAGCAATTGTGTTAAGCAAGCAAACTGTTTATACCGGGGCAGAGCAAGTAGGTCAAGCACGTGCAGCCAATGAGCTACTTTGTTTTGCCCGCGATATTTATTACGGCTTCTACTTTTAACATTATGTGCTTTGGCACCCTCATTGCCCCAATATGTCTCTGTCAAAAAAGAGAAAAGTGGACGCAGAGTGCAGAGTGTTCCAAGAAAAATGGTCATGGCTTCAAAACCATTTAGTGAGGGTGAATACTGTACTCCTGAGTGGCGCAGTGGTCTAAGGCACTGCATCGCAGTGCTAACTGTGCCACTAGAGATCCTGGTTCGAATCCAGGCTCTGTCGCAGCCGGCCGCGACCGGGAGACTCATGGGCGGCGCACAATTGGCCCAGGGTAGGGGAGGGAATGGCCGGCAGGGATGTAGCTCAGTTGATAGAGAATGGCGTTTGCAACGCCAGGGTTTTGGGTTCGATTCCCACGGGGGGCCAGTATAAAAAAAAAAAAATGTATTCACTAACTGTAAGTCGCTCTGGATAAGAGCGTCTGCTAAATGACTAAAATGTGAATTTGTAAAAACATGCATGATGAAGGCAGTGGAGATTGTGTGCCCTGAAAAGCGGCAGGCTTTTGCAAATATCAGCCTGACAAGAAACACAGTTGCAGACAGTCAGTTTGGACAGCCAGTTGAAGCAAAAAGTAAAGTCATTTATTGCATTTTCGGTTGCAATTGATGAAAGCATGGACATTACAGATGTTGCACAACTGGCCATTTTCATCCGCGGAGTTGATGACACATTGACCGTCACCGAGGAGTTCGTGGAGTTGGTGCCGATGACAGATACAACGACAGCAGCTGATATTTTTACCGCACTCGTCGGCGCGCTGGACAGGGTCGGAGTGGACTGGTCCCGCGCTGTCAGCCTGGCTACAGATGGTGCGCCCTCAATGATCGGGAAAAAAGCAGGCGTTGTGACAAAGTTCAGAGAGAAAGTGCAATCTGCAAATGGAGGACGTGATTTTTTGACTTTTCACTGTATTTTGCACCAGGAGGCTTTGTGTTGCAAGTCATTAAAGATGGATAACGTCATGAAGGTGGTCATCCAAACTGTTAATTTCATCCGATCCAGAAGCCTGAATCACCGTCAGTTTGACAGCCTTCTCAGAGAGAAAGACCACATCTATGGCCTGCCATACCACACTGAGGTAAGATGGTTAAGCCGAGGTGCTGTGCTGAGGCGTTTCTTTGATTTACGAGAAGATATTGAACAGTTCATGGAAGAAAAGGGCAAACCAGTGTTAGAATTTCATTCCGCAGAATGGATGCAGGACCTTGCATTTATGGTGGATGTTACAGAGCACCTGAATAACTTGAACAAACAGCTGCAAGGGCGCAACAAAGTTGTCACGCAGTATTATGACAGCATACGTTCTTTCAAGTTGAAGCTGTCATTGTGGGAGACGCAACTTGCCGGTGGTGATGCAGCTCACTTCCCCTGTCTGAAAAATGTGTGCGCGACCCAACATGTGGCAGACATGAAGCGGTTCAAAGATAAAATAACGGGACTGTTACGGGAGTTTGAGCAACGCTTTCAGATTTATGTTTATATGTTTTTATGTTGATGTGCTATTGTTTTTAATTGATTTTATTTTATTTGTATATTTAACCTATTCTTGACTCTGTGGTTCTTGCACTTGTTTGGGGAACAGGATTTCATTATTTTTATCTACATTTCTGCCTGAGAAATGACACCCTGATATAGTTCTGTGATCTGTGAAACAGTTCTGTTAATCACTGAGGCATTGTGTGTTTGTGTGTTCTTTTTCTTTAGAATTTTCAAATAAACTTGACGTGTTTTATGATTAATAGTGATGTTGTGCTTGTACTATTTTGGACACACTGTCCTCAGGCTCCAGCTTTATGTTGTATGTTGATCGTATTAAAACAAAGAAAACAATCTGAAGTTGTTGTTTTTAAGTTATATATACCATGATTTTTCCGGTCCGGCCCACTTGGGAATAGATTTTCCTCCATGTGGCCCCTGAGCTAAAATGAGTTTGACACCCCTGGTGTAGACACTTCATTTATCTAAACACTTGCTTATCCCAATTTTCCTATATTAGATCATCTGTGTTCATAAAAAAATCGTTTGTGTTCCAAAAAACGATTTGAAAGAAATGGTTTTACTATCTCTTCCAATTAAAATAATAACTTTTCACAGCAGAACTGAGTATTAACAGTTGCAAACACACTTGGATGATTACTCAGTCTGACTACTTCAATATTTCTCTCACACGTCCTTGGATCAGTCAAAGCAATTTGGCAGAAAAGTGCACCAGAATGCTTGGAATCTGGAATCTGCTATGCTGTTTCCTTTTTCAATCATGTTCTTTCATAGTTGTGTGGAAGACATCCTCTATAGCGGTGGTAATTGCTCTGTTGTCGTGTTCTTGAGTTGACTGGTCCTAGAGGCCATGCGGCTGCCTGTGTTCGCTCTGCGTGAGTGTGTTAGCTCTGTGAGTCTGCGTGATGGCCTAGATGCTGTATTTTCTTTTTATTCCTCCAATGACATGTTTAACCCCCACTGTACCGTTCCACTGTGTTAGACTGATCATCTTGTTGTTCTGTCCTGTCTCTCCCCATACAGTCTCCATGTGGCTGCCACCCGTGGTCAAACTGAGTGTCTGGCAGTCATCCTGGCCCATGGAGTGGACACATCAGTCATAGACACCTCAGGTTAGTGGACTGCATACCTCAGGGTTCCCCAATAGGTGATTTTATTTGGCACCTCAAAAATCTGTTGTTGGACATAAGACAAGACAAAATCACCAGGAAGTCATCTCAAAGTGATTTTAATGTATGACATATGTTCCCAAGTATTCCCACGCATAAATAGAGAGGTATATGTTATCGTGTCCAAGTGTAATCAAGGTTTGAAATTATTCTGTTTTTGTCAAATACTATATTTGTTTGGGATTCTTGCGGCCAATTTGCAGTCTACAAATTATTTATAACTATGCCCCCCGACCATCCACTCAAAGAAAAATCACCCCCATAACATGTGAATATATCCTGAACATACTGTAGGTGAACACTCACCTATAGAACTAATCTGCCCAGAAGCTTTTCTCAAGGATGATTCTACTGCTAGTGGTTACAGATATGGACTTGAGACCAGCAGGGAGTTTAATTAAACTGAGGCTGCAACGGAAGATATCTCACCAGGATGTCTTTTACTCCTCAGGTTTTAGTGCTTTACACCTTGCTGCCAAAAATAACCATCAGGAGTGTGCCAAAAAGCTTATACAGGTAAGATGGAGCTGCTGAATGAATGAAACTGCAAACATAAATGATGACCGATTAACTCACTCACTGGCTGTATCGGATGAAGCCATTGATTTGTTCTCCGGTAGTTCATCATTATCACCCTTATTTATGGGTCATTTGTATGCAAGAGAGCTAAAACAGTTGTACTTTTTGTTGAATCACAATTTAAAAAGGGGCTCTCTGAACCCATGACCACCTCTCTATCCTTCACACAACTTTGATATGACCTCAGTTTAGCCATGAATATAGCCATGTCTGTGTTCATGCATCTGCAGGAACTTGTGCAAATCAACAAGTACAGTGGATAGCTGGTTCAAGTCCTGTTGTAGTTCAGGGATTTTTGTGTTGAACCCAGATATTAAGAATAAATAATGTGTGCATGAACTGTTGTTAGTCAGTATTTTTAGCATGTCATAATTGTGTGCGTAAAATATGATTTTATGAAGCTGTCAGACTCAATAGGTCCCGTGTAGCTCAGTTGGTAGAGCATGGCGTTTGCAACGCCAGGGTTGTGGGTTCGATTCCCACGGGGGGCCAGTGTGAAAATGTATGTACTCACTAACTGTAAGTCGCTCTGGATAAGAGCGTCTGCTAAATGACTAAAATGTGAATCAGTCACACTTTTGAACTGATGCGAAGCCAGTACACTTGACTTGTAACTAACCTCAACTATAAACAATGGTTACTCTCTCTCTCTTACTTTAATGTAGGCTATTTTTGCCTTGATTACCTCAGAAGCTCTATTTTCCCATGTGCTCTGTTTTTAATTAATCTGTGTTGCCGCAATCCGCAAATGCTAGTTGAGGTTGTTTTTGTCCTATGGGGAAAAACTAATGCTATTTGTTGAATATTAGGAGTACAGTAAAACTTCTGGCATTAAAACTTCTGTAATTTAACCCCTTGACGGTTATGATGGGGAGAAAATCTGAGCTGTAAATTGTTTAACCTGTAGCCAAGGCTTTATAGCCTCCATTGCATTCTGAAAGTATTCAGACCCCTTGACTTTTTCCACATTTTGTTATGTTACAGCCTTATTTTAAAATGGATTAAATTGTTTTTTTTCTCCTCATCAATCTACACACAATACCCCATAATGACAAAGCATAAACAGGTTTTTATAAATGTTTGCACATTTATAAAACATATAAACCTGAAATATCACATTTACATAAGTATTCAGATTCTTTACTCAGTACTTTGTTGAAGCACCTTCGACAGCGATTACAGCCTCGAGTCTTCTTGGATATGACGCTACAAGCTTGGCACACCTGTATTTGAGGAGTTTTTCCCATTCTTCTATGCAGATCCTCTCAAGCTCTGTCAGGTTGGATGGGGAGCGTCACTGCACAGCTATTTTCAGGTCTCTCCAGAGATGTTCGATCGGGTTCAAGTCCGGGCTCTGGCTGGGGCACTCAAGGCTATTCAGAGACTTGTGCCAAGGCCACTCCTGCGTTGTCTTGGCTGTGTGATTAGGGTCGTTGGCCTGTTGGAAGGTGAACCTTCACCCCAGTCTGTGGTCCTGAGCGCTCTGGAGCAGGTTTTCATCAAGGATCTCTCTGTACTTTGCTCCGTTCATCTTTCCCTCGATCCTGACTAGTCTCCCAGTCCCTGCCGCTGAAAAACATCTCCACAGCATGATGATGCCACCACCATGCTTCACGGTAGGGATGGTGCCAGGTTTCCTACAGATGTGATCCTTGGCATTCAGGCCAAAGAGTTCAATCTTGGTTTCATCAGACCAGAGAATCTTGTTTCTCATGGTCTGAGAGTCCTTTAGGTGCCTTTTGGCAAACTCCAAGCGGGCTGTCATGTTCCTTTTACTGAGGAGTGGCTTCCGTCTGGCCACTCTACCATAAAGGCCTGATTGGTGGAGTGCTGCAGAGATGGTTGCCCTTCTGGAAGGTTCTTCCATCTCCACAGAGGAACTCCGGAGCTCTGTCAGAGTGACCATTGGGTTCTTGGTCACCTCCCTGACCAAGGCCCTTCTCCCCTGATTGCTCAGTTTGGCCAGGCGGCCAGCTCTAGGAAGAGTCTTGGTGGTTCCAAGCTTGTTCCATTTAAGAATGATGGAGGCCACTGTGTTCTTGGGGACCTTCAATGCTGCAGGATTTTTATGTTACCCTTCCCCAGATCTGGTCCTCGACACAATCCTGTCTCGGAGCTCTACGGACAATTCATTCAACCTCATGGCTTGGTTTCTGCTCTGACATGCACTGTTAACTGTGAGACCTTTATATAGACGTGTGTGCCTTTCCAAATCATGTCCAATCAATTGAATTTACCACAGGTGAACTCCAATCAAGTTGTAGAAACATCTCAAGGATGGTCAGTGAAAACTGGATGCACCTGAGCTCAATTTTGAGTCTCATAGCAAAGGGTCTGACTACTTATGTAAATAAGGTATTTCTGTTTTTTATTTGTAATACATTTGCAAAAAAATCTAAAAACTTGTTTTCGCTTTGTCATTATGGGGTATTGTGTGTAGATTGATCAGGAACATTTGGTATTTTATCCATTTTAGAATAAGGCTGTAACTGTGGAAAAAGTCAAGGGGTCTGAATACTTTCCGAATGCAATCTGCCACAATATCAATGTTGCCAGCTAAGGTATACGAGGAGATAGTAGGCCTAGTTGGACAAGGCTATCTGAATGTGCACATGATGGAAGTTGGAGGTAGCCTAAATATTAATTATTTAATAGAATAAAAAAATGCACTGACTATTATGTGACTATAATGGCTGTGACTACAACTACACTAAAATTGTCCAGAGTTTTAGTCGACTGATAATAACTAAAACTAACTATGGATGATATTACTAAAATGTGACTAAGACTAAAATGTATTTTAAGACTAAAACTCAATCTAAAATAGCTGTCAAAATGAACTCTGCTGTGAGTGTGTCTTAATGCTAATATCAGTAATTCTATATATTTTTTTTAGAGAATGGATCTTCCTTTTCCCCCCCAAAGTTGTACAGTACCATCTGAATTCAAAGCTTGAGTGTAGCAATTCTGTACTAAAGCAGTTTTTGTGATCTATACATAGCCTATCAACAACTGAGTGAACTATTTTCAGTGGGGTTCATTTTAAGTGTCTCCATGAGATTGAGACAATTTTCTAAACATTTGGGAAGCTGAAGTCAGATTTAATACATATCCTTCCCTCTCTCTGGTAATGCCTGTCACTTGAATGGCCAGCTAAGCCACTTGCCCATACAGATTGACTTGACACACTGTCGGAAATCTGATGCAAGGGCACTCCCATTAACTCCAAATGAAAATGCGTCTAGAAATAGCTTACATACTCTTAGTTAACACAGTTCACTAAAGGGGAACAATGGTGCCTAAACCTCTCTGGCTTAGTGTGGGACTGTCTGTGAAAGTGAGCACCTCTCTCACTCAGGGAGAGCGAGGTAGAGCTAGAGCGAGATCTACGTCGCAAGGTTATGCGCCCCTCACTGAGCGCTAGATAGAACTTTGTGGAATACAGAAAATATACAGAACAAAATGAACTTTCTGTCACAGCAAACATACTCCATTTGGGAAGCCCAATCGATTGTGACATATACATTTTATGTGATTTAAATTTGGGTCACAGGTTCACAATTTAACCTTTTCTGAGATCTCTGCCAAGCAAGCAGGAAACAGTAGCCCACCGTGGGCTTGCTGCACGTGCAACAGCACACACACACGAGGAAACTTCTCATAAACACAACACTGTCACTGACAGTTTTCAAAATATACTGAACAAAAATATAAACAAAACATGTAAAGTGTTGGTTTCATGAGTTCAAATAAAAGATCCCAGAAAATCTTTATACGCACAAAAAGCTCATTTCTCTCAAAGTTTACATCCCTGTTAGTGAGCATTTCTCCTTCGCCAAGATAATCCATCCACCTGACAGGTGTGGCATATCAAGAAGCGTGATCATTACACAGGTGCACCTTGTGCGGGGGACAATAAAAGGCCACTCTAAAATGTGCAGTTTTGTCACACAACACAATGCCACAGATGTCTCAAGTTTTGAAGGAGCGTACAATTGGCATGCTGACTGCAGGAATGTCCACCAGAGCTGTTGCCAGAGAATTTAATGTTAATTTCTCTACCATAAGCCGCCTCCAACGTCGTTTTAGAGAACTTGGCAGTACATCCATCCGGCCTCACAACCGCAGACCACGTGTAACCACGCCAGCCCAGGATCTCCACATCCGGCTTCTTCACCTGCGGGATCGTCGTGAGACCAGCCACCCGGACAGCTGATGAAACAGGAGTATTTCTGTCTGTAATCAAGCCCTTTTGTGGGGAAAAACTCATTCTGATTGGCTGGGCCTGGCTCCCCAGTGGCAGAGCCCCTGCCCAGTCATGTGAAATCCATAAATTAGGGCCTAATGAATTGATTTCAATTGACTGATTTCCTTATAACACAACATGCCTTTTATATATAGTCCTATTTTCAGAAACCATTTATCTTTCAATCAATTTCTCTGTAGCCTAAACCAAGCGGAAAATGTGTGCGACACAACAACACAAACAACTTTAGCGGTCAAGAAATGTATACTGAAGCAAACATTTTAGATAAGAACATATCCTCATACCTTTCTGTCATGTCAACCATCCATCCAAATAAAATTGTGTCCGCTTGGCTTTTGTCTTCATAAACCTTCACTTACTTAGCCTATTATGGGGTAATCTAGCCCAGTTCCTAGACAGAGATACAGTGTCTCTTGTCTAGAAACTAGGCTAGATTAGCTATCTCATAAGGTATGCGGATATTGTCTTATCTAAAACGTGGGTTAAATTTGCTTCAGTATACATTTCTCGAGTGCTTAAGTTATGTGTGTTGTGTCGCGCATGGGAGAAAGGCATTGAAAGAAAGAAATAGTTTGGGACTATAATACAAGGCGTGTTTGGTGATGTGGTAAAGTCTGATGTATTTTGAAAACTGCCGGTGACAGTGTTGTGTTTTATGAGGAGTTGTCTCGTGCGTGTGTTGTTACACGTGCAGTAAACCCACACGGGCTGCTGTTTCCTGCTTGCTTGGCAGAGATCTCAGAAAAGGTCAAATTGTGAACCCGTGATCCAAATGTATCATATACAATTGGGCTTCCCGGATTTAGTATGTTCGCTGTGACAGAACGTATTTTTTTTTCGTATAAGTTTGTTATATAGAAAATCTATCTAGCGCTGCAGTGAGGTGGAGAGGCGCATAACCTTGTGACGTAGCTCACGCACTACCACTGCCTCGCTTTCCCTGAGTGAGAGAGGTGCGCATTTTGACAGACAGTCCAACACTAAGCCAGAGAGTTTTAGGCTCTTAGACAAATTTCAAAAATGTGCCATAGTTCTCCTTTTTAAGGCTCAGACCAATTTTTCAGATCAATCATCACAGTGATGGAAAAAATAATATGGTAATATAGATGTTGACCTAAGCCTGTGTTTTCCCACCAGAGTAAATGTGTGTTGGATGCTCTGGACAGCTCAGGGAAGACAGCCCTTCATCACGCAGGTAAGACTTGATTAGAAATAACTTATATGCAGAAGGCCTCTATAATGCCTACATAAAAGTATGACACTTTATGGCTATAGGACATCCCTAGGCATCAGCTCTGGGAAATTGTAACGTAGGCATTGAAGATTCACACTGAAATGGTGGTGTTCATTAGAAATTGATTGAGATATATTTGTATTACTTGAGACCATCAAACTAGGAGGATAAAATGGCTTGATGATTCCTCTTCTTAGGTGCAGAGCAGCAGATAGCCTATCCTCTAAGCACCTGATCTCAATTCCCCTCTTTCAGTCACGGTCCAGTACCCATCTCACCATCCATCCATCACACCATCTCACCATCCATCCATCACACCATCTCACCATCCATCCATCTCACTGCTGCTCAAAGTCCTGCTGATAATTACAGAAGCGGCCGTGACTATAAGACCAGACTACACATTGGGTGTTTTTTATACAGTATATGACAGGAATGTTTCTGAGCCTGGGGTGAACCATACTGTACTAAAGAACATATACATTTAGAGAGCCTTCAGCCAGCAGGGGATGCTTTTATCTGGGGAGGAAAGGCTTGGATCAAAGACTACAGTAAAAAGGGCCATGTCAATAGCATAGTAAGAGACTCTCTACTGACAGGTTTTGACCAATTTTCTCCAGGGTTCCAACTTCCAACTATGGATGACTGCAGGATAATTGCACCATGTTGGACACAGTAGAGTTCTATTCAGGGAGTAAGCTGCTATAGGAGGAGTCATGCCAGGGGCCTGTGGGAGATCTTTGACGTGACTCTCAAAGTTAGTCAATTACCTGCCATGGCATTTGTATTAGTGCCGTATATAACTCCATGGTATGCAAGGCATTTTGGGCTTTCAATTGATTCTCTTATTTTCTCCCTCAGCTGCCAGTGGAAGCATTGTGATTGTCCAAACCTTATGTGAGCACAAGTGTCCGGTAAATGTCAAAGACACGGTATGTATTCCATTCGATCAGATACAGTGCCGTTTTCTCATTCAGTTGAAGATATTGTTTGTGTAGTCTTCAACAAAAAAAAAACATCCAGGCCTGAAGTATTATTACTAGAGAGAAGGCTGTTCTGCATAAATGCAGCATGCAGCAATCCCACTGTACTGGTTCTGCTGTGCCTCAAACATGACAAGCAAACTTACATCCCCTGACTGACTGTGTGTGAGGGTGTGCATGCAAGTGTGTGTTTGTGGGGTTGATGGTGTGTTATTGTGGTGTTAACGGTGTGTGTGTTGGGGGTTCGCTGTGTGTGAGAGCCATACATTGTGTATTTGTGTTGTGGTAGCTGGGCTTATGTCTCCAATGGAGACATTTGACATGTCTGTGGTTTCTTTCAGCTCTGTGTTGTTTTTCCTCCTCCTCTTTGGGAGGCGTGATGCCACATCCCTGCTGTACAATATGTCTTCCTCCCGCCAGCTTCACTGACAAACCCACTCCCAGAACACACACTCACCCTCATATAAAAATGCCTATGTTACTTTCAATTACGTTAATTGCAGCACAGGGGTCGTATTAAGTGCCGTGAGGGCTTTTATTTATGTAGTGTTTTTAGAGTGCTTCTGATTCAGTAATTTACTGCCAGTCTACCACGGGATACATGTTTTAAGAATGTATATCTCAGTAATAACCATACAGCACAGTCCGAGCCTCTGATTCAACTCTGCCGTAGAGAGGCATGCTCTTCCTTTAGTGAGGGTTTGTGTTACATTCGCTGTCTTCATACTTAATTGTTTTAAACGTTTCTCAAATCCTGCATTTCCTCGTACTTTTGCCAAGTCAATAATGTTGAGATAGAGAATTTTTCATCAGCTGGCCGCCTGAGAGAAAATGATACATAAAACAAGATAGGAATTACAATACTCTTTTGTTAACAAATGATTCAATTTGGCACAATCAAAGATGTTAGCTTTTGATGGGGAGGTATTTGAAAAAAGACAGCTGTGCTGCAGTGTAGATATCAACCCTCTCCAATCCAGCTGTGGCTTCTCATCAACTCTCCGTCGTCCTGAAATAGCACTGAACACTGATACACTTCAAGGAACTGGGCGCTGTGGTGGGCCAGGGAGGGAGTCACACACCAGTCAGAGTTTTTAAGTGCATCGCTTTCTCACCCCACTCAAACCCTGGTTGACACGTCTTCATTACTGTGAGCTTGTCATCCTGTCTGTATCCTCTGGATGATAAACACAAAAGATAACTATGTTGTGTCTCTGTTAGAGAACTATTACAGCAATCAAAGTCTCTTTCAGAAACAATCACGAGTAATGGTGGAGTGCTCCACAGTGTGATCTATTCATCAGATAGAAATGGGCTTTGATGCCATCTGAACAGCGGTACTTTAGCTGTGTGTGGGCAGAGCCTGCTGTTCAGAAACAGTCGGGTGCGGGAGGCAGGGAGCTGTGGTATGTATCCTTGTTGAGAGGTTTTGTTAAGTTCACAGAGTATGACCTCACTAGAAGTTGATGGAGACAGTCATCAGCAGTGCACACAATGTCAAGCCAAAGTACCTAATTTGGCTGCATTTCACATTCAGTGGGATGAGCTGTAGCTAATGTACTGTAAGTCGCTCTGGATAAGAGCGTCTGCTAAATGACTAAAATGTAAATGTAAATGTAATACTGTGGACACACATATGCAGACATGCTCTTACTCCATGTTACTGTAGGTCAACACCACTATAGCCGTGGTTCACAGTGAAGGGTGAACCTGGATCCTGGTCTCTCTCACATCTGGAACTAATTCTTGTTCTCTTCTAACAGAAATGGCTGGGGAAAACATGCCAACTTGTTAATACTTGACATACCACATGCCTATATATCTTCTTTAAATACTGTAAATACCACCAAAATGATGTAACAAAGAGAGAATTCTTGTGATTGCCAGTTTTTGAACATTCACAGTCGCGGAGGGGTGAATGTTTACAGTGTGGTTGGCTGTAATCCATGTTCATGTCAACGCACCGATAATACACACAGAGACAGTACTACGTCAATACCATTACAGGATGGTGATGAGGTACTGTAGTCACGCAGGCCTCTCACTTGCAGGAATGAACAGAGTAGAAATAAGGGAAACTATAGCCAGTGGGACACATTATTGCTGTATCAATGTGGCTTTGCTAGGACCCTGGGCACTCCTTCATGGTTAACCCTCCCAATCTCTGTGTGTCGGGCCAGACAGCCTTAGCCACAGCTCTCTGTGGTGCACTGTGCTGAGTGCTGAGATTACACATGGTTTAAAAGTCAGATTGTTACATTAGCCTCCTGGGCCCTGGCAGCCAGCCTCTGCTCTGCTGGCCTAACCCACGGATGCCATACTGGGGCTTTATTTAGGCATGAGGATCAGTCCTCGTATTTCTCGTCCCCTTGTTTCCCCCCCAGACTGTGAGGAGTATGAAAACATTCACACTCTGGAAAACATTCACACTGAAAAACATTCACACTGGAAAACATTCACACTCTGCAGCTGCCAGGGCATTGTCTGCCAGAGATGAGGAAAGCAGGACTTTTGTCTTGTTCTGTTTTCAAGACCAAAGTTAGACCTTTCAGCTGGGAAAGACATGAAATAAGGCCCTTAGAAACCCACATAATAGCTTTGCCCTTTTGTGGTGTGTGTTCGTGTACCACTAAGCAAGTCTGACACATTCCCAGTTGACTCTGACACATCTCTGAACCCCATTTTAGATTCTTCAAGTGTCAAATGTTGTATTTGTCACACCTACACTCAATGGCTAGTGATGTTTCCTCTTTCCTACCAAGGTTGATCTGTTGTCTCTGACCTACAGATGTAGGATCTTAATTTGAGCCAGTTTGCTACATCGGGAAAATAATCCTGCAGCAACAGGAAATGTGAATTATTATGTGGATTATAATAAATTGGCATTTTTGTAGGGGTTGATACATTTTTTGTAAGAGAAAATCAAGTCAGAAGCCTTTTTAAACCTCAAATAGCCTACAAGGGTTATCAAATTAAGATCCTACACCTGTATAGACATAACTAAAACTGTACAGTATGGTCTGAAAAGATTTCCATGTTATTTACCAGAAATCACCCCAGTGAATAAGAATAAGGTCTAGCTGTCCAGAGTGTGGTCTGAACGTCGGATATGTTAAGCAGCTCGGAAGGTCTCATTTTATACACCAGATAATCATCCAAGGTCATTCTTGGTGAATAAGAGCTGTCACTGTCAGTTTTCTCACACCTGGCTGTCAGAAGCCTCACCACCTTGACAGAGCTGGTAGTCAGCGTCTAGACAAGGTCTTGGCTATGGAAGTATCACCAGAGAAATCACTCAATCTACTAGTTACAGTGCCTTGCAAAAGTATTCATCCCCCTTGGCGTTTTTCCTATTTTGTTGCATTACAACCTGTAATCTAAATTGATTTTTATTTGGATTTCATGTAATGAACATACACAAAATAGTCCAAATTGGTGAAGTGAAATGAAAAAAATAACTTGTTTCAAAAAAAGCAAAAAAATTAATACCGGAAAAGTGGTGCGTGCATATGTATTCACCCCCTTTGCTATGAAGCCCCTAAATAAGATCTGGTGCAACCAATTACCTTCAGAAGTCACATAATTAGTTAAATAAAGAACACCTGTGTGCAATCTAAGTGTCACATGATCTGTCACACGATCTCAGTATATATACACCTGTTTTGAAAGGCCCCAGAGTATGCAACACCACTAAGCAAGGGGCACCACCAAGCAAGCGGCACCATGAAGACCAAGGAGCTCTCCAAACAGGTCAGGGACAAAGTTGTGGAGAAGTACAGATCAGGGTTGGGTTATAAAAAAATATCAGATACTTTGAACATCCCACGGAGCACCATTAAATCCATTATTAAAAAATTGAAAGAATATGGCACCACAACAAACCTGCCAAGAGAGGGCCGCCCACCAAAACTCACGGACCAGGCAAGGAGGGCATTAATCAGAGAGGCAACAAAGAGACCAAAGATAACCTTGAAGGAGCTGTAAAGCTCCACAGCGGAGATTGGAGTATCTGTCCATAGGACCACTTTAAGCCGTACACTCCACAGAGCTGGGCTTCACGGAAGAGTGGCCAGAAAAAAGCCATTGCTTAAAGAAAAAAATAAGCAAACACATTTGGTGTTTGCCAAAAGGCATGTGGGAGACTCCCCAAACATATGGAAGAAGGTACTCTGGTCAGATGAGACTAGAATTGAGCTTTTTGGCCATCAAGGAAAACGCTATGTCTGGCGCAAACCCAACACCTCTCATCACCCCGAGAACACCATCCCCCCAGTGAAGCATGGTGGTGGCAGCATCATGCTGTGGGGATGTTTTTAGTTGGCAGGAACTGGGAAACTGGTCAGAATTGAAGGAATGATGGGTGGCGCTGAATACAGGGAAATTCTTGAGGGAAACCTGTTTCAGTCTTCCAGAGATTTGAGACTGGGACGGAGTGTCACGAGTGTCAGTGTAATGTGGTGGGTCGAAGTCAGGCGCAGGACACAGAACTCGAAGAAACGTACTTTACTGAGAAATGAGTAAAGAATTCAATACAGAAATCTCTCCACACAGGGAGGAACTAACCCGCTCACAAACAACACAAGAAACGAAAACAACCACGCACAAAACACATTGGGAGCCACTGGGTTAAATAGGGAAGGCGTGACTACAATAATGGGCAACAGGTGTGTGACAATAGACAACAGGTGCAACATAGAAACATAGAACATAGATCGGCAGCAGCTAGTATTCTGGTGACGACGAATGCCGAAGCCTGCCCGAGCAAGGAGAAGGGGCAGCCTCGGCCAAATCCGTGACACGGAGGTTCACCTTCCAGCAGGACAATGACCCTAAGCATACTGCTAAAGCAACACTTGAGTGATTTAAGGGGAAACATTTTAAATGTCTTGGAATGGCCTAGTAAAAGCCCAGACCTCAATCCAATTGAGAATCTGTGGTATGACTTAAAGATTGCTGTACAACAGCGGAACCCATCCAACTTGAAGGAGCTGGAGCAGTTTTGCCTTGAAGAATGGGCAAAAATCCCAGTGGCTAGATGTGCCAAGATTATAGAGACATACCCCAAGAGACTTGCAGCTGTAATTGCTACAAAAGGAGGCTCTACAAAGTATTGACTTTGAGGGGGTGAATAGTTATGCACGCTCAAGTTTTCTTTTTTTTTTTTTACTTATTTCTTATTTGTTTCACAATAAAAAAGATTTTGCATCTTCAAAGTGGTAGGCATGTTGTGTAAATCAAATGATACAAACCCCCCAAAAATCAATTTTAATTCCAGGTTGTAAGGCAACAAAATAGGAAAAATGCCAAGGGGGGTGAATACTTTCGCAAGCCACTGTATGGTATGTGACTTGTCTGTCTGGGGAAAGTATATGTTGCCAATGGTGAAATGATTTTTTTACTGGCTCCTGGTTTTAGTCTATGGTAGATGTTAGAAGTAATTAAGTTACTTTGAAGTTTAGTTTGAAGGTACAGATGTAGGAAATGTAACATTTGTAGTGAATTGCAGGTTTAAAAAGGCTTCTAAAGTTTGTAATTTCCACTTTGAATTTTCCCTTATGAAAAATGTATACATCGCTACAAAAATGTCCATTAATTATAATCCACATAATAATTAATATTTCCTTTTGCTGCAGGATTATTTCCCTGCTGTAGGAGACTGGCTCAAACTAAGATCCTACATCTGTATGAAGTTTAGTGTCAGCCAACAGTATTTCAGTATATGGTTGGTCCAGTAAGTGTTTTCAGAGTGCTTTCAGGGATAATATGTGATTTTTTGACATTTTCCATCTACCAGTGAGACAGAAAGTGTGTAAATCCTCCTGATTGTGTTAAGAGTCAACGCCCAGTGCAGTGTGTAATGTCCTGTGAAGCAGAGACTGCCTGAAATTGGGCTACAGACTGGGCTTGTAGATATTGCCTGCTTTTGATGAGGTGTCAGTTTCCTAAACCTTATTATTAAGGCAAGCCAAACCCTGGGGAAAAGGATAGAAGGAAAGGAATGTAGAAAATATGTGGAACATATGTGGCTGGCTGGCTGTGTTGTGTACATTATTTGATAGGGAGGACTCTGTGCATGGGACGGAGAACGCTGTGTGTGTGTGGAGGGGTATACGAAGGGGTCTGTGTGTGTGTGTGTGTGTGTGTGTGTGAGAGAGAGAGAGAGAGTACATTTTCTTTCTGAGCTGTGGGGGAGAATGGCTAACTCGGCGTGCCAAAATAATATAATAGAAGGCCTTTGCTTTCATTTGTTTGAGTGGAGGTTGGAGCTATAAAGTCGTGCTTTTATTTTAGCAGGATGCTGAAGGATGTAGCCCAGCCTGTTACCGCTCATCAAAGCTCCAATTGTCGTTTTTGGAATTGCATTGTGGTCATAGACTACATGAGCGAAACAGCTTGTTTTTCTCTGTACTATGTGTCTGGTATGTTTTCATTGCAGCATACCAAACAATGCTTCTAGTGTACAGCAGCTGAATGTACTGTAGAGCTTACATTCCAATCACTTCTACCACTTCTTCCTTTCCGAGAAACAAGGTTGTGGATCCTTTAACAGTACATTATGTGAACTTCAGAATGACAGTTCAGTACAGTATGTGAACTTCTGTGTTCACGTACTATGATGAAGGCATCTGAACAGACCGTCTACAGTATACTGTTACTTTTACTGATGTGTGGGTCCTGTAGGATGGCCTCAGCCCCCTGCTGCTGTCTGCCAGACACGCCCATGCGGAGGTGTGCAGCAGCCTCCTGGACTGGGAAGCCGACGTCAACGCGTGTGATAAGAACGGCAGGTAAAGAAGGACTCATCTGTCAGATCACACGTCTTCCACTTCATAACTTCATCTCATCATTACAGGGTTGTCTACAAGTACATTACATTATAATACCATGAGGGTGGTGGTGATGATGGTGAGGAGGAGGAGAAGAGGAGGAGGATGATGTTAATGATGAGTATTGTGATACTATTTCTGACTGTGTGATACAGGACAGCGGTGATGCTGGCCAGTGAGAGCAGCAGTATGTCTGTAGTGGAGGTTCTGGTCCAGAGAGGAGCTGACCTCCAGGCTGTGGACTTTTTGGGTCATGACGTCCTGCACTACGCCAAAATGTCTGGCAGCAGTGAAATCAGGGCCGTCCTCACTGCGGCGCTGCACAAGACCCACTCAGACACAGGTGAGATAAGAACTGTCTTTAGTACTGATCGAGCCTAGTATGAGGCAGTTGACCAGAGACTCTAGCAGACTCCTTCAGGCTTGATTTCCCTTCAAAACTATTTGAGGTGTGTGGACGTTATGACATTCAAGCACAGTGTTTCCCAACTCATCTGTCAGAACACACAGAGTCACTTCTCTAGCAAACTCCTTCAGGCTGAATTCATTTCAGGTGTCTGGAAGTTATAAAGTTCAAGCTTTCGGATGTATGTTAATAGCTGTTGATTGTGACATGAAGCATTGTGTAAAGTTATAGACAGAAATATGTTTTGACTAGATGAACTTTGGGCTTTTCTTTCCTTTTCTCCATAATCTACCCAGAGAAAACATTGATGTCTTTGTGGTCAAGCTTTGAAATGCAACCTTTCAGTTTGCCTGTTATGCAGAATTTACCCAACACTGCCATCTTCAGGCTGTGTCTCAAATGTTATTTTTCCCCTCTCCTCATTCAGACACCCCGAAGTCCCCAAAGTCCCCCAAAACTCCTCAGGTAAGTTACCAGTACTTCAGCTTGTGCAATCTTTCTATCTTCTTCCAAACTTCACAACTGCAACCAGTTTTCCTGCTCATTGACCCTACACACATTAACTTGATATAAACAAGTCTAATCCTAATAAATAAAACACATTAGACAGTCAAAAACAACCTCTTGCCACAGTATCATCATTGAACAACCTAATCTAAACTTGAATGAGATGATAGCTTTCTGTTTAAACCTTATGTTTCTTTTACATAATGAAAATCGTTTTGAAATGCACCTCAAGCAGCATGTATGAGCATGAATCTAACACCTTAGCTAAACAGATCAATCTTCAAGCCCTTGCTACTCCTGGATAAATACCTTCTTTTTGATCACAAGTTCTCCAAATGTTTGATTCTTCTTGTTCACTAACTAACCTAATTAAAAACTGCGGGATCGTTCTTCTGTTTTTGTTCTTCTTTCTTCCCACTCCTTCACTCACACCTCAGCATGATCAAGTGGCTAGGTTAGGTGGCGATCGAAGCACAACTCCCAAAAAACGAAAAGCACCTCCACCTCCCATAAGCCCTGTGCAGGTAAAGGCATGTCTCTGTCTGTCAGTCTGCCTGCCTGTCAGTCTGCCTGCCTGCCTCCTTATCAGTCTGCCTGCCGGCCTGCCTGTCAGTCTGCCTGTCTGTTTTCGGTCTGTTTTCGGTCTGTTCGTTTCACATATGGGTGGTTATCTATGTATCTGCTTCCCTTTTGATTGATCCTTAGCCCTGTTTGTGTCAGGTAACACTTCACTTTTACTTTCAGTCTGAATGAAGTTCTTAAACGTTATAATATGTATTTACCTTGTCTGTATCTGTTTGAATTCCCAGTAGTAATTACTGTGTCTATACAGCAGAACACTAAGAAATGTAATTCATGTTTTATGTTTCCAAACTTTCTAGATGCCTAGTCCTTACTTTCATCCATACATGACCCCAATTGAAACATTATAATATGCGTTTACCTTGTCTGTATCTGTGTGAAAACCCAGTGTTGTCCTTAAATGTTTTGGACCCACCCTGCTGTCTACTGCTTTTATTCAAGGGCTCTTTGTATTCAGTGCATTAGGGTTGCTATTCTGTCTGTCTCAGTGTAATTGTATGTATTGACAACTATTACTGAAGTACTGTAACTGAAGTGTCCAGTGCCGAACGCAGGAGTAAACACTGAGAAATGTAATTCATGTTTTATGTTTCCAAACTTTCTAGATGTCTAGCCCCAACTCTCCCGCGTACATGACCCCAAATGAAACTCCAGTCTCCAGTAAAAGTTTTGGATCTAAAGTATTTAATTATAAGGTACACTTACACTCAAGCATTTTTTAGAAGTCATTACAGGGCTCTCATTTAAAAGAACAGCTCTTTTCTCTAAAGTATTATCTTGGTTGTTGCCCGTCATGGTTTTTGCTGTGTCGATATTTTTATTTATGTTGGTTTTGCTCTCTCTCTCTCTCTCTCTCTCTCTCTCTCTCTCTCTCTCTCTCTCTCTCTCTCTCTCTCTCTCTCTCTCTCTCTCTCTCTCCTCTCTCTCTCTCTCTCTCTCTCTCTCCTCTCTCTCTCTCTCTCTCTCCTCTCTCTCTCTCTCTCTCTCTCTCTCTCTCTCTCTCTCTCTCTCTCTCTCTCTCTGTCTCTGTCTCTGTCTCTGTCTCAGGAGGAGGAGTTGCGGAGCGTGTCTCTGAGGGAGGAGGTGGAGAAGCTACAGGGGGAGAAGTGCATGCTGCTGGAGACCATTGAGGATCTGAAGCAGATTGTGGACCAGACTGTGACTATGAGCCAGACTGAGACGGAACCGGGGCCGGAGCCCAAGGCGAGTTCCAGCTACAGTGCAGGCCTTTAATATCACTTGCCTGCGCTGCTTTGATCCCAGTCCACTAGCATTCTCTGTCCTGTTTCTATCTCTCTCTGGAACCCATTTATACAGCTGCTGTGCTGTGTTTTTAGCGGCCGGGGCTGTGTTCAGGTAGAGGGTCCTGTCTGCTCCAGGGCACTGTCCTGCTGTAGCTCAAAAACCCACATAGTCACCCACACAGTCTGAACTGTTGACTAATATTACTACATGTACTAATGGAAGGTTATGGAAGTCTCATGAGATGCCCCAAGAACTTAACATATTCCCTGGTATCCAAACAATTGCATGTTAACTGTAGAAGTGTGTTGATACAGGCAGAGGACTGTGGGAAGGTAGACTCAGCTCTGGTAGTGGCCCTACAAGCAAAGATTACAGCTCTGTCTCTGGAGAACCAGCAGTTAGCCCACATACTCAAGGTAAGCTGTCAAATGAAACACTCGTCATTCCAAAAGCATGGATATCCCATTATAGTGATACTAGGCCTTTTCTCTTCCTTTTTATAACTGTCAAGAGTAATACCAGTGTTTTGTTTACTATAATTAGTCACTCTACATAAGAAATATCCATTAAGATCCTAATAATCGACCAAACCTTGTTTCTTATTTTTCTCGATTTAATCTCTCTGTAGAAGCGTCCGTCTCCCCAGGGAGGTGAGGTTGGCCAGGAGGACTCGTCCCGTCCGGACAGTATGAACTCTAATGCCTCCTACCACACCACCCACGAGTCCCCCAGCGAGGCCCTGCTTCAGCCTCAGGGGACCGAGGAGGACATGTCTGAAGGGTCCGCCCTGGAGCTCAGCAGCACCTCCCTGAGACCAGAGGAGGAAGAGAGTGAGGAGGAGGGGAAGGAGCGAGGCGAGGAGCAGATCAGGCTGCTGAGGGAGACCCTAGGGATCGTCCAGTGCAAACTACAGGAGACGCAGAAGGAGAACCGCATGGTCCATGCCAGGATCAACCCTGAGCAGGGGGAGGAGACAGGAAGGGAGGGGGAGGTGCTGCTTGAGAGTCTAGCAGAGCTCCAGGCCAAGCTGACAGAGACACAGGAGAAACACCACCAGGCCAGAGAGGAGGTGCTGGGCCTTAGGGCACAGATTGAAAGAGGAGGTGGTGGAGGAAGTGAATTGGCAGAGCAGGAGCTCCAGAGACTGAGAAGCTCTCTGGAGCAGGAAGTGAAAGAGCTGAGGTCCCAGCTGGCCCAGTCAGGGCAGGAGAGGGAGAGGGATGTATGCCGGATCAGGGAGCTGGAGGCTAGGCTGAAGGCAGTAGACGACAGCTCTGATCATGATAAGAGCTTGCTGGTGGACCGGTACAAGGAGGCACAGGAGGAGATCAGGATGCTGCATGAGGCCCTGAGGGGGACGGTCCCTGTGGAGGCTGCAGCTAATGACTTTGAGGAGATGAAGGGCGAGCTGGGGAGCGTGATCGATGGGCTGCAGCGCCGCCTGCTGGAGCTCTCCAAGTCCTACAGCGAGGCCAAGAGTGAACTGATCTCCACCAGGAACCAGCTGGATGAGACCCAGGCTGTCAAGTCTAAGCCTGGCAGCCCTGTAGCCTCCCCAGTCAAAGAGCAGGACATGCTGAGGAGCAGAGTGGAGGAGCTGCAGGCATCGCTAGCCGACACACAGAGCAAGTACTCCGCCTCAATGGAGGAGATCGCCCTCCTGAAGCAGGAGGCTGATGCTCAGGCCCAGGGGTCAGTGGCGTTAGCTGACCACACACAGGTGGTGTCCTCTCTGGGCAGCGCCATCAAGGACCTGGAGGGCCAGGCAGACGCTCTGAGACAACAGCTGTCCCAGAGGGCCCTGCAGGTGGACGCCCTACAGAACAGACTGACCGTGGAGAAGGACCACACACCGGACGACTCTATATCACGGCTGGAGCACGAGCAGATGAGAGGGGGCCTGGAGACAGAGGTGAGCCACCTGACACAGCTCCTCCAGGGGGCCCTGAGGAAGCAGGATGAGGTGGCTCTGGAGGCGGCTGCAGCGTGGCAGGAGCTGAAGGAGGGGAGGAGCGAGAGGGAGGCCCTGCAGGAGCTGGCCATCAGCAGGGAGAAGGAGAACCACACTCTGAGCACCAAGCTCAGAGAAGCCCAGGATGCCATAGGTCAGCTGAAGAAGCTGGTGGAGGAACATGTCAGCTCAGAGAGAGAGAAGAATAAGAAGGTTTGTAAGTTACAGCTTTCTGTTTGTAAAGTGTTTAGTACAATGTTCACCGGTCATGATGTAGCAAATTTCCCTGGTTTGGCAAAGGCAATACTTTGAGTTTAGAGAGCTATCCCTCTATTCTGCTTCCTCATTACATTTTGTTTTGTCTTTGGCCATGATAGACAATCAGTTTGGTCTAAACCCTTGTATTGATCACCCGTGTTGTTTGTGTCTCAGATTGATGACCTGTCGAGAGAGGTGGGGAAGTTAAAGGATGCCTTAAATAGCCTATCCCAGCTGTCCTACAGCGCAGGCTCAGCTAAGAGACAGCAGACCCTGCAGCAGCAGCAGTTGGACAGCCTACAGCAGCAAGTCAAGCAGCTGCAGTACCAACTAGGGGTGAGTCGTGAGGCATACACTTTCAAACTATAGCTAATATGACTCATTCAACCATGAATCAGTATACTACATTCGTCCTCACTCTGATAGCGTCAGAGAAGAGAGGATACACTGTTTACACGAATCCCTTCGACTAAGGACTTTCCTGGAACAACTGCCAGATAGTTGGAAGCTGAATTGCGGTGAATGATTTGCTGAAATGTTGAAATGAAGATCTCTGTACTGTCATGATTAGCCAACGACTTTAGTTTTGGGTTCCACCGCGTTAGAGCCAAGACATCTAATGTACTGATCCAGGGCATCCTCCTCTGGTCTAGGACATAATGAGACGTGGGCTGGGAGGCCAAACGGGATCCTGTATCCCACCATCTGCTGCTGCTTGTCACAGGCTGCACACGACTTCTTACGCCTCGATCACATGGACAGTGTTATTGCATTTTGGTACACCAAAAGTACATGAATTTCCAATGGAACGCTGCGTTTGCCTTGCAGCATTGCGTTGCAGAGGCAGTTGCAGTGCGTTCTGTGTGGTGCATACATTGGATTTATTGAACGTATGCGTCAAACTGTATGCGTAGACGGCTTGACAGAAATGGTAGCAGAAGGTGAATGTTTAACTTTTGTTGCGCACATATCCAGATGATGCTGCGTATTATTTTGCGCAGTAACACTGTCGGTGTGATCAAGGCGTTAGTCATTGACCACCCTGTTCCTTTAGATGTACTGTCTAAATCAGATGGCTATGAGGAAGGACATTTACATGTAGATGCTGATCTTTGAAGGACGTCTACTGTAGTTTATGTTTTTGGTTTCTGTCACTGCTGGGCGTTTGCCTAACTATGCAGTCTTTGGTTTATTACTTATCTTTAATAATTCTGAGCAGTTTCACCATGGTTTTATAGCTGATGTATGATATTCCACTAGCTAATTGGTTGATAACACACTAAGCTGTTTCTGCATCTCTTTACTATAGGAGTCAAAGAGGCAGCACCATGAGATAGTGTCCGTCTACAGGATGCACCTCCTATACGCCGTCCAGGTACGTTTTTATGCATACTGTGTACTCTGTATGTGATTTCATATTAAATGGTGCAGGTGTGGTTTTAATGTTATGACATCATGGCTTCATTCCTCACAGGGTCAGATGGATGAGGATGTTCAGAAAGCCTTGAAGCAGATTCTGAGGATGTGCAAGATGCCAACAGAAGCCAAATGAAGTGTCTGAGATGGAGCAGCCTATCTATCTACTGCCAGTGCTGGAGAGGAGACACAAGGAAACGACATCCTTACACGCTGGTCTCCTAACCTACATGACCTATCACACGTGTGCCGCATCCGTCCATCAAACACACACTTCCATCAAAGATAATGATTCTTTATCTGCCTACAAATTATTTCAGAGGGGAGCTAGAATATGAAGACTCCTTGTCAGTAGATTTGAATGGCATCTTTGATCTAGCAGTGTTAGTTTTATATTGTTGTCAATTAGTTTAATTATAGCACTGGTTTTCATGACATAATGATATAATCCAATTTTTTGGACCTCTGCATGCAATTTTTCCTAAATCAACCACATGCAAAATGCTTTTTTCGACACAATATTTGCCTAATAGCACAAACCTTTATAAAAATGAATAGTTTCAAATGTATGCAAGATGTTTCTAGATACATTTATGAAATGAAAACAAAGAAGTTTGATAGTTGTATTTTTTAACAACCCTATTTGGGGGTTTTGTATGAATTCAATATTGTGTGTGATAACCTAGGCCCTTTTTAGTGTCTGCAATCTGTGAATGCCAATTTTACCCAATTGGGGTATTTTGTCCTCATTTACACCATATTCCCTTGGAGGCTTTTTAAATCAATATGACTTTATGAACAGATTCAACCTTTTGAATAATGAAATCCCCCATTGATTCAACAATGATATTTATTTAGCAATAATCCAGTACTTGAAGGGTGAATTGGTATCAGATCTCTGGGGAGTGTCTCTCTGAGGACAGAAAATACCCATGTGACTAATGCACTTTCCTAATGCTGTACTCCCGTTCAAACTCTATGGCCTCAGCAGATTGCCTGTCCCATCCGGGACATCTTAGTTTTTGTGTCCCATGTGCCTGCTCTTTCTGTGTTGAAGCCTGACAGACTTGTCTTGATTCTTGATCTTCTTCCCACGTTTTGTAATATCATTATAGTGTAAGAGCTGTAGCAGGTAGTAATATTTTTTATTTTTTGGGGTATCTTTTGGGGTATTTCAGTGTATCTTGGTATGGCAGCATGTGAGTCTCTTGGACTGTTGAGCAAGTTGCTCAGCCTCATTCAATCCTCTTCATCCACATACTGTACATGAGCAGTGCAGTAGGAATAGTATAGTGAAATGTTAGCACCATAAAACGTGAAGTTCATTACTCATAAGTAGGGCTATAATCTCTCGTGGACAGATGCACGTAACATAATGGCAGTAGCATCTGTCGACAGACTGGAATGCAACGGCTAACGAGGAACTTTGTTATGGTACCGCAGATTTTTCGTCATTAGGACAAATCACAATTTCGCAGGCGCTCGCATTTTTTGAATTTTCGGGAGGGGACATTCGTCCCATTGACTTGCCCGACACTAGCTGATCTTTCCGTTTAAAGGGGTGGAGACTTCGCTAGTCTTGTTCAAGAGGCCAGGATTCCGGTCTAGAAGCACGATTTCGATTGCACCTACAGTCTTTCTTCGGTACTGCAGCTTAACTGATGCCTGGCCCAGAAAGACAATTCACATAGACGATAGCATAGAGAAATCAGATTTGAAAATTCCAAATAAGACACTTAAGTCATTACCTTTGTGCACACACATCCATTGAATTATTTAAATAATTGTCACTGAGGCAGATTTTTTTGATTTCTTATTTTTTATTCATAGCCGAACATATTAACATTTTCTATTCAGCCAATGTCTGTCATGTTTTTGGATGATGTGATGATGTCCTCGCTAATCGCGCTGCTCCCTGTGGGCACTGATTGCTAGTGAGTTGGGCTGAGTAAACCAGATGCAACCTTGATAGAGACAGTCCATGAATCGGCGTATGTGAACGTGAGTAGATTACGTTGAAAACAACGGTCGGCCATTTCAGACACTTTCTCTAGTTCTTCTAGTTTAGTGGTCTCGTTAGTACATTTTCTAACACGTCTCCCTCCCAGAACTTAATCGATCATCTGATGCAATTACGCAAGATTTCTGTTCTGGGTGTCCGAGATTATTAGGGCTCCAATGTATCTTTGATGCTGTTTGGTGAGCTGTGTTAAGTTTTTTAATCAAGTGCTGTATCATTGCTCCTCGCTGTGTTTACACAGGCAGCCCAATTATGATATTTTGCCCAATTATGGGGAAAATATCTGATCTGATTGGTCAAAAGACCAATTAGTGGCAAAATATCAGTGTTGGGCTGCCTGTGTAATCGCAGCCTAAATGATTTAGGATGATCCACTACAGCGGAGTAAATTTAGAATATAATAGAACATGATAAAGACTGGAGTGAAGTCCTTATATCCCAGGTCACTCGATGAGTTTCTCTAATAACTCTTGTTAATAAGGTAAAAAGAAGACTCCTCTCTGACAGAGAGGTTAATAAGCGTGTCTCCTGTTGTTTTTTCAACAGTTTTTGTAATGGAAATTGATTTTGATGTGTCTGTTTGCCAGTTGTTTTTCACCCAATTCAATAAATTGTGAAGCATTATGTATGTCATCCTGCATATCACAGCTGTGATGTAATTGCACATCACTGTGATCACTATGGGAGTACAAGGTGTAATACATGGCACAGTCAATGTAAGAGTGTTCAACCCACTAATATACTCATTTATTTACCATTAGATGCATCTTCAGCATTGTTCCTTGTACCATTTCAGTGGTACAACTGTAATGGTGCTTGTTTTCAAAAGAGTTCAGATTCCCTGGCTATTGTAAAATACATGATTTGTAGAGATTAACAGTGGCAATGCAGGGATGAAATACTGCAGTTGTTACTCTTACCAGGCCACAATGATACAGCACTTGATTAACACCCAGAACTTTTGCCTTTTCCATGAATATGGCATGTATTGATCCAACTGGCTGTGGGGATGATTACTTTTTATTTCAACCCCCGCCAGAGAGCCCAAGGGCCCTAATCAATAATCAATTAGGATGACAGAGGGGCTTCTGCCAAACAATAAAGAATAACTAGCTCTGATTTCAACACACACCACTTTTGGTGACGTAAAGCAGGTGGACATAATTTGTTCTCTGGAAAACTACATTCTCTTTTTAGAAGTTGTAGAGCATTAGATGGATGTTGATATGGTAAGCGGCTCAGGTTTCCCCAGGCATGGATGTCTGTGTTATACCAAGGATTTATCTCTATTAGCCTGACAGCAGACTGCATTTACAGCCCTGATGACATCCTCCTTTTGTATACAGGGACCTGTTTCAAAGCCTTTTGTCTGGACAGTCGCTATGCCCTATCTCTGGTCATTATTCATGTCTGTTCCTCTCAGGCCTAGATTCAATCTGTAGGCTATAGTGCGATTTGAAATGTAAAGGCAATTTTCCCATGTTCGCATTCAAGGTAAACGCTGCCATGGCTGTAACTAATTTGAAAAAATAAATGAATAATACAAATATATATTTTGTACATAATAATGAAAATCAATTACGGGTCAACATCTAAATATTTCTCCCAGTCAAATGTGTTGATCAAAGTGTTGATCAAAGCTCTGAAAGCTTATATTCTTGATCTGACTGAATTCTATTCGCACCTGCCTGCTTGCGAATGAGTGGAATCATGAACAGTTGTTTGTTCATTATGTTCGCCTGCGTCCTCCAGATTTGCCTCCTGGATAAGCATTTTTAGCAGCACATTCACCACTCTCAAACGGCAGAGGGCCTGAGACATGAAACGAACTACCCAGGTCGCGGTCGGCTCTGCTGATAGTATGTTTGCGAGATGCCGGACAAAAGGCCATTTTAAAACTGTCCCGCGACTCCTGCCGTGTCTACAGACATCCTCCAAACAAACAAAAACCGACTCTCGGAGAAAGAGTGCACAACTTGTAAATAGTCGCTTATACATGTCTATCAGTCATATGACTAGCTGCCGGCAGAGACTTCTATTGCAGTGACGTTGAAGGGCTCTGGCTAGTATTACTTACCCAGCTAGAATGAAGTAAGAAGCTAACGTTAAACGGAGCCTGAGGCAGTGTAGCCTCACTGACCGCAAGCAGCACACATATTTTACAGTTTTGTCCTTGCTTTGACTTCTTGGAATTCATTCTCGGGTGTCATGTGGAAGATATTGAGGCTGAGTTGAGAATCTGATTTATTCTGAAGACATTCTATTGATCATTTCAATTGATAATGTGCTTCAGAGAAGTGGAAATAAGGTTATTGTGCCCTGCAGATGTACTGTAAATTGTGCACAGTCATTCTCCTGCTACCATACACACCCATCTCAAGTGCATATTATTGTGCCTGCAGACGAGCATGACTGGGATCTGTTTTTTAATGTAGTCAACTGGGTGGGACTTCCAATTTCATTGGCTGATCCCTCCTGGTGATCCTGTTGGAGTCAAGTCCAACCGGGTCATCAGGAGGGATCAGCCAATCATGAAGAAGAAAATGTACTACTTCAAAATGGAGATAGCCTCAATGGTGCAGATACAAAGAAGAGTCCTCTATCTACGTTGCACCTCCGACACCTCCAAAACATCAGCTATGTGGGTGTCGGCTATCGCCGGTTAACGCTTGATCTGATTGAATCTAGGCCTAGGTTAGAGGGCACTCTACTTCCTCGCAGGCCTGTGCTGACCTCAGGACACTGACAGCTCCTTTTGGTATGCACCCGACACACACACACTGCAACAGACTTTCCTTACTGTGCCCGTGGCCTCAGATGTGCTGCCAGCTGAATTTCGGGTAATTTATCCGCTCTATTTTCCTCTTCCCGGTGGCACGAGCCTTTAGAGTTTCCTCCCCTGGCCCACTGTCATTCCCCTAGGGCAGAGAACAGAAGAGAGCCACCACTATAAACCTCTGCCATATACTAACTCCTAGCGCCAACAAACTAGTTCACTTCTCATGACTCACGCCAATAGATCTTTATAACCTTTAAATTCTATATTTTTTCCTGGTTAGAAGGGGCTAATGGCTCAATTCCTGCTAGGAGAGGCAATGATAAAACTTATGGAAACTTCTAGGACTGAGGACAACCACACTCCCATATTTAGACAAATCAGGCAGTTTCATGCAGGCACTATGCCAGCCAGTGCATCGAAGCCAATGCAATATTGTGAGGTCCAACTCAAATTAGTTTGACAAAGTTCAGGAAAAAATATTTAGAATGATGGTTCGCATGCACTATGCTAATAGTTTCATTGACTATATTTCTTTACTTCACCAGTGAAGAAGTTTACTATTTATCATAGACTGTATGCTATTTAATACACCTCTTTGGAAATGTGGAAACATTTCCATAGCAATTCTCTCAGCCTCTGGTAGGTGGCAGTATGGACTTACCAACAGTATGATCACGCACAATATTGGCCAAATTACAGTTCCCTTTTTGGATAACCGCATCCTTTAAGCGAAGTTGTCATCATAAACTCCGCTGCAGTCAAATTAAGTCATACTAATCAATCCCCTGTCTCTAGACCCTGCATCTGGACTTAATAGGAACATACCAGAAGACATTAGAGGAAAACAAAAATATGAAAGATGTGTGGATGGAGTTGGCAATAAGAGGTAAATTATATTATTTCAATTTCCAAATCCCATTAATATGAAGAATTACTACTGCATTATTTAAGTAAAACTGTACAGGTAAAAATAAAAACTATGCTTGTAGGAAGATGATCTCCTTCTCATAAAGTCTCTGAGAAAGTTGTAAAGCTGTCCATGGGAGAATTTAGATGGGATCCATCCACAGCTTTTAAAGTAAATTATATATATTGTAATACACTCCTATTGTGATTAATCACCCAATAATGTATTACGTTTTCAAATCAGTGTTGTTACTGATATGCTGTCAAATATTTGATTTCCAAAACAATGATGTTGTCTTCAACCATACATGCATCCATGCAGCACAGGCGTATGAGTTTCCTAAACCTCCAGGGATATCTGGGTTACATGCTTGTGTTCAGTCAAATGCAACCGCATTTGATTGTTGAGTAATTAACTGATGTCCGCAACATGTTCTGCCTCTGTTCATCATGCCTCAACCATACCATCAAAAACTTTGCCTAATACACACTGGTCCAGAAAACCACATCCGATTAATGTATTCTCTGTACAAGGCACATGCTGCTAAATTGCTGCAAGATGTGAGGCCAACTTCTTACCCATAGAGCACACAGAGTGTGGTGGTGGTGGTGATGGTGGCAGTGCTCGCGAA